ATTTACCAAAATTAAATGTTTAAGCTTAAAGAAAAAGAAAATCTGCCAAAGGGGTAAGAAAAATAAACTTAATTCAAAAAGAAGGTAAGTTTATTATCGTGACCCCACTGGCATTCTTACTTTAAGCTTAACATTTTACAGAATACAAGACTTAATATCTTCTGTCATTTTGGTTCTCAAAGATATTTTGATTTATAGGAAACATGATTTAAGTACTAGCTTTTCCATGACATTCTAATTTATTGAGATGCACCTGTATATGTGAGAGACATAAGCATAGCTGAATTAGAAAAGATTAAAATATTTAAAAAGTGTGATTGACGCCATATTTTCATGTTTCTCTTCTGATATTAAAGACATAAAATTTGAAGATACTAGAACAGTATTATATGTATTTGGACACAAAGGGCCTACAGTACAGAACATTGCAGACATGATAAGATTTGTACTTTTGAGATATAACTGTTTTCAGTATTAATATGCACTGTATCTTATTCTCTGTTTTACCTCAAGGATACCATTTCCCTTTCATTTTATGTTTGTAATTTTTGTTCGGTTCTTCCTTCTCTGTCCTGTTCTTCCCTTTCATCTTCACCTTCTCTCTCTCTCTTCTCCCACTCCTGCTCTAGCTAATTGCCGCAGAGCTCACTGATAGAAATCAATGTGCAATGTTTGATTGTGAGCCAAAGCACAGGAAGGTGAAGCAGAGCAATGAACATCACAAATACACAAACATACACACTCAGCACTTGCATACCTGATCCTTGGATGATTAAGAGGTGTCTCACACAACACTGTGTTTGTGTTAGGCTTCCCACAGAACCCCTGACTAAAGCCTTGAATCAATCTAATCATAATGCCATTAACTATATTTGAGCATGCATATTATTCATTTAATGCATTAAAGCCAACCTCAAATAAAATGCATAAAATGCAATAACTGACAAATCCAACAGAGTAAAAGGCTGGTACTGCTATAAAAATCTATCAGCAAACGTTGAGACTCCTAAGACGGGACAGTTAAACGGATAGTTCACCTGAAAATGATAATTCAGTCATAATTTTCTTTAATTCATTATATACTTGAATTCAGTATATCTTGAATTCATTATCCTTCTAAACCTGTATGAGTCAGGAACACAAAAGACAATATTTTAAGAATGTCTCAATTTAGTTTGGACCTCATTGACTTTCACTGTATGGACAAAAACAGATAATGATTCAGATTTGGATCGACAGCATGACAATTTTTATTTTGGGTAAAGTATCCCAATGTATATATATATATATATAGTGCTTTGCGAAAGTATTCATACCCCTTCATTTATTTCATGTTTTGTTATGTTGCAGCCTTATGTTAAACTGCTTTAAATTACTTTTTTTCCACATCAATCTACACTTCATACACCATAATGACAAAGCAAAAACAGAACTGTCACAACTTTGTAAATTTATCAAAAATAAAAAACTGAAATAAGTACATTGCATAAGTAACTCATTACTTAGCTGAAGCACCTTAAAAGCCTCAAGTGGTTTTGGGTATGATGCGACAAGCTTTGCACATCAGCATTTGGCAATTATCTGCCATTCTTCTCCTCATCTCTTCACCTCTCAAGCTCTGTCAGGTTGGATGGGGGCAGACTCACATTTTCAGGTTTCTCCAGAAATATTTGATTGGGTTCAATCAATCCCAGGCTGTGGCTGGATCACACAAGGACATTCACAGAGTTGTTTATAGGCCACTCTTGCTGTGTTTAGGATCATTGTCCTGTTGGAAGGCAAACTTTCTGCCCAGTCTGAAGCTCTAAATGCTCTGGACTTGGTTTTCATTAAGGCTATCTCAATATTTTGGTGCATTAAGCTTTTCTTCTACTCTGACGAGTCCTTCAGTCCCTGCCGCTGAAAAACAGCCCCACAGCATGAGGCTGCTACCAGCACACTTTACTTTTTGGATGGTACTCTGCAGGTGATGAGCAGTGCCTGGTTTCCTTCAAGCATTATGCTTGGAACTGAGGTTCATCAAACCAGAGAATCTTATTCCCCTTCAGGGGAAGTCCAAGTTCAACTCAAGTTTAAAATGCTCAAATCAGGTCCGAGGACTGGTTTGTCACAATAGATCTGAAAGACGCATACTTCCATATATCCATCCTTCCTCAACACAGGAAGTTCTTGAGGTTTGCTTTCAGGGGCTAAGCTTACCAATATCGGGTTCTTGCGTTTGGCCTTGCACTCTCACCCCACACTTTCACCAAGTATGTGGATGCTGCTCGGGCTCTTCTGCGACTCCAGGGCATCCGCATACTAAATTATATCGACAATTGGTTGATACAGAGCAGGTAGCAGTTCAGCATCGAGAAGTCGTCCTTGCTCACATGAAATGGTTGGGGTTAAGACTAAACGCAAAGAAAAGTGTGCTTTCTCCAGTACAGAGGACCACTTATCTAAATGTAGTGTGGGATTCGACCACGATCCAGGCACGTCTGTCTCCTGCTCGGTTCGAGTCGATCCTCACGGCAGTCAAGAGAGTGAGAGAAGGCCAGTCACTCACTGTCATACAGTTTCAGAGACTGTTGGGTCTGATGGCGTCCAACGTGATATCTTTTGGCCTGCTGTACATGAGACCCTTGCAGTGGTGGCTCAGGACCATGCCTTAGACATAAACCATGGTTCCTTTCACAGGCCCAGTGCTGCCTCCCTCACGGGCTGGAGAGCGGTCATGAGTGGCCACTCCGCCTGGGTCAGTGGGGAGGTCACTCCATAATCCACTCCAGAGCTCCTTACATGAGGAAACTGTACTCCTTGAAGTGGATTGTGTTCACTTTATGGTGCGGAAATCGTCAGCTGCTCCCAGTTAACTGCCCGGTTGGTAACCCAACTAACCCTAGTTCCTTGAGGGAACAAGATGCTGCGTCTCGTTGCCATACTTCCTGCATCCCTGTGAGCGACTTGCTTCAACTTATCAGAAGCTAACTCTGCTTGTTTCAGATGCTGTCTGGTCTCTACATCACCCCGGCCGTGACGTTTCTCCATTCCATTGGACTGATTTTACATGTGATTCAGAGCATGGTCACGCAGACGCGTTCCCAAAGCGTTTCAACGCAGCGTCTCGTTCCCTCTGGGAACTAGGGTTACATATGTAACCTAGTGACGTTTTTCAGTCTAAGGGTCCTTTAGGTGCTTTTTTGCAAATTCCAAGTGGGTTTTTGTGTGTCTTCACTGAGGAGAAGATTGAGTCTGGCCACACCGACATAAAGCCCAGATCGGTGGGCTGTTGCTGTGATGTTTGTCCTTCTGTAGGTTTCTCCCATCTGCATATATGATAATGGAGCTCGACTAGAGTGACCATCAGTTTCTTGGTCACCAGTCTAGACAAGGCCCTTCTCCATCAGTTGCTCAGTTTGGCCAGGAGGCCAGCTCTAGGAAGTGTTCTAGTTGTTTCAAATGTCTTACATTATGGATAATGAAGGCTACATGAGTCTGTGAACCTTCAAAGAAGCACATTTTTTTTCTGAACTCTTCCCCAGATGTATGGCTTGACACAAACCTGTTTCTGAGCTCTACAGGCATTTCATTTGACCTCAGGGCTTGGTTTTTGCTCTGATATGCATTTTCAGCTGTTAGACCTTTTATTAAGATGTGTGTGCCATTTCACATCATACCCATTCAATTGAATTTGCCACAGGTTAACTTCACTTGCTCCTGAGCTAAATTTCAACTGTCCCAGATAAGGGTATGATTAATTATGCAATGGAATCTTTTAAGTTTTTTATTTTTAATAAATTTGCAAAGATGTTAAAAAACAGTTTTTTTGCTTTGCCTTTATGGTGTATGGAGTGTAGAATGATGTGGGGGGGAAAGTAATTTAAAACAATTTAACATAAGGCAGCAACATAACAAAACATGAAAAAAATGAAGAGGTGTGAATACATTCGCAAGGCACTGTATATATATGTATTCTGACCAAATAGATCACAATTATTTAATTATAATATAGTCAGTGTTTTACCAGTGACCAATTCTTTTTGAAGGACTCTCAAAAACAGCACTAACACTCAGGACAGTCACTAGTTAAGCATTTGTAATTGTGCATATTCTTTTGCTGCCATCAGCCAATCAGCATTGTCATGAAGTTTTTTTTTTCAGTTCTAGTGCAATTAGTCACATGCCATTTTACAACTCAAGTGATTGCTCATGCCTCCTCAGTTCTGGACGCAATTGTTTCTCCACATTTCAAATCATGCCCTCCAGCTAATAAGCAGCCATTGAAATGAACGGGAATGCTAACGGATAGCTTTCTACAGGTATTACAGACCTGCTTGATTTGACAACAGTCATTATGTTTTTGCTGCCATCAGCCAATCAGCATTGTCATGAAGTTTTTTTTTTTCAGTTCTAGTGCAATTAGTCACATGACATTTTACAACTCAAGTGATTGCTCATGCCTCCTCAGTTCTGGACGCAATTGTTTCTCCACATTTCAAATCATGCCCTCCAGCTAATAAGCAGCCATTGAAATGAACGGGAATGCTAACGGATAGCTTTCTACAGGTATTACAGACCTGCTTGATTTGACAACAGTCATTATGCTTTGCACAGAAATTGCACAGAAACTTCACCTCTAAGTATTCTTTTAAAATGCATTATTCTCTTCTCTTTAAGCAAAATCTGTCATCTTGAAAACCAAAACAGAAACTAAAAATGACAGCCAAAAAAAAAAAAAAAAAGACCCCTAATAGACTAACCCTACGAAAGCAGAAGGTACTGCTCGCCTGCTATCTTTCTTCTCGACCTGAAAGCCTAGTGAAACAGACTGTATGGAGCAGAGAGACTAGTGTAAATCTGTCTCCTACATGAAAGCACCTTTGATAGGCCTCTACTCTCATCTCGTCTCCACAAGCATGCCACTAATGTTCTGCCTCCCAGCCAAAATATCCCCAGCAACACCTGGCACCATGAAGAAGAAAAAAACTGATTAAATCATTAGAGAAACACATGGGAGGATGGAAAAGAGAGAGTGGGAGATGAAGGAGGGAGAGCTGAGACGTAACGGGGGGGAGGGATGAACAACTTCATAAGCTTGGAACTGCGTTCCTGGTGCCGTGCCTGTTGTTTATGTCCACACACATCAAAGGCTGCGGTAATCGCTGCTGTTTGCGGGCCCACATCTCCAGTTCACCTTGACTGGCCTGTTATACGCTACAGGCCAGAGCAGTGCTCAAAGACGGCTGGTTTCTCACTAAGCAGGCCAAGAAGTGTCTGAACCTGGGCACTGGAACACCAGTACGCCTAATGAACGAACATTAGGAGATGAGCGTCCCATAGCACAGCGGCTGGAGCAGCTCCAGGTCTTCACCAGCTGTGCTGCTCTTGTTTACAAGCCGCCGCCAGCTGCTGCTGGAGCGGCTTCGCGACAGGCCTCCGCTCCCAACCACATCCTCGAGCTCGCTTGAGCAGCCGAGCCCAACCCGAGTGCATGTGCGCTGGGTCTAAACGTCCGTCTGTGTCCCTCGGTGCCCTCCGAATAAGTGTAAAGCCATACAGAAATGCTGTTGAGAAGAATGTGGAAATGTGGTGTTTGAATTCGCAAACCTAACTCTGCAACTATGTTTCTCTGTTACAGGAAACTTCAAAGGATTGTGTAAGCAGATAGATCACTTTCCAGAAGACACAGATTATGAAGCAGATGCCTCAGAGTACTTCTTACGTGAGTGCCTCCTTAGTGTTTCTGTGACAGTATTCATGTTCTCACCATCTTGTTCTTTCTTGTTCAATCTGTGAGGCATTTCAAGTAGTACCAGATATGCTATTTTTGTCCAAGTGCCGTTACTGCTGAAACAAAAGGGGGGAAAAATGTAACCTACATGTACAATCTTTGAAAAACAGAAAAAGTCCAAAAGTTTGGAGAAGGTTATTACCAGGCCCGCAGAACTCTGCAGATTTCCCATTATTCACAAAGTTATATGTATTCTTTGCTAATAATTAAATAAAATATTAAAATTGTTTTATTATTGAAATAAAAATATTAAATATGCTGTATAGTTTCACCTTTCAGTAACAAATAAGAATGTAGTACTATAACCACTGTTTAAAAAATTTTTTATTCTTTTTTTATTTTCTATTACAATTGTATTAATTAAAATTAGGGCATGTCAATTGATTAACATTTTTCAATTGCACACATATCATGAAATTAAGCACCATTTATTTTGTGTAACTTGTTCATTTTGTCATAAAATATTGTGGATTCTTTTAGCAGCCAACAAGATTGTACTCTAACTGCTGTTTGTATCTTTGATTTTTTAACTAAAAGTGTAATCTATTATTAAAATGATATTAATAATGAAAAGTATGAAATATTGTGGATTATTTTAGCTTTCATTTACAAATAGGAATGTAATACTCTAACCACTGTTTAAATGAATAATAATAATCATTTTTAAATTAAATATTTAATCAAATATTAAAATTGTAATAATAATTAAAAATACTAAATATTATATTGGCTATACACTTACTTGTATTGGATATTTTTAGATTTCAACTACCAATAAAAATGTAGTACTATAACTGCTGTTTTTAAACAGTTATTCTTTATTTTACAGTGAAAAATGTAATATAAATATTTTTATAATAAATGAAAAACATGAAAGAAGAAGCTATCAGTTAGAATGAGATCTTATATAACACATTTTACAATGTTTACTGTAAATTGTTTTAAGAAAATGCAACAGATTTTCTCAAAAAAAAAAATCAGAGGAGAAAATGCAAAAAAGATTTTAAAAAATGAATGCAATAGAGCTGTCTTTATTTTGTTCCACCTATCTTTGGTTTTCTCATGCTGTTTGGCAGCGTAAGGATGGTCTGTTGTCTCTGCGGGAGAGTGTGAATGTTTCCTCACTCTGTTTAGACTCTCAGCAGCGGCAGACTCTCTAGCTCGTACAGTACGGCTCAACTAGGCCCGGTTACAGTACACTGGCTCCCTCGTAAACAGAGCATTGATTTCCACTCTTTTTTCGTCTGCGCAAGCAGACCCGGGAAGTGAGTGTCAAACAAGCCACATGCATCAATCCTAAACTCACAAGCAGGACTATCAGTGACTGTCATCAAAACAAGGGCCTGAATTGACCAGAAACAACATGGTAACAACCAAGAGTAATTAAAGATTCTGGAAGCGTTGTGCAGGAAAACAATTGCAGACTACTGGAGAGAGAAGGAAAATGAGTCTAAGGGTCCATTTATACAGGGTACATCCTGGTCCATCTGCACTGGTTTTGGATTGTTTGAAAACGTTAATGTCATCAATGAAATTACTGACGAACAATAATGAAGACAAAACAAAAAAAGTGCATCACGACGATAATTCCTCAATTTTTGAATAAAACATACTGTTCAGAAGTTTGCTTTAGTACGATTTTTTAAATGTTTTAGTCTCTTACACTGACCATTTATTTGATCAAAAATACCGTAAAAACTAAAATATTCTGAAATATTATTACAATTTAAAATAAACGTTTTCTGTATATATATAATTTCTGCATCATTACTCCAATCTTTAGTGTCACATGATCCTTCAGAAATCAATCTAAAATGCTGATTTGCTGCTCAAGAAACATTTCTTCTTATTATTATTATTAATGTTGAAAACATTTGTGCTACTCAGTATTTTTGTGAAAACCCTGATATATATTTTCAGATTTATAAATATAAAGTTAAAAAGAACATTTATTTTGTAACAATTTAAAAGACTTTTGATGAATTTCTTCAACAACAAAAAAAATCATACTAATCACAAACTTTTGAATGGTAGTCTAAACAAAAAATAACAATATTAGCAATGGACTAACAAACTAACACCCTCTGAAAAAGAAGTAAGATAGGACTATTTTGAATAAGTTAAAATGCACATTAAAGGGGTCCTATTATGATTTTTCACTTTTTCAACTTTAGTTAGTCTGTAATGTTACTGTTAGAGGATAAAAAAGATCTGCAAAGTTACAAAGCTCAAAGTCCACTTCAAAAGGAGATATTTTATTTAACAGAAATCACTTTTCAAAAACTACAACAAACGACTCGTTTGGACTACAACGCATATTTTCCGGGATTTGTGATATCACAAAGATCGACGAATGGGACGAGACCTGGTTGAGCTGCACTAGAGAAGGCAACGAGTGTTATCACTATGTCAGAGACACACTAGCTTTCCCAAGGCAGACGAACTTAGAGTGGTTACAATCATCCGGGTTTAAATCGCGCTCAAACTGATTTGATTTTGAGGCCATATTTACACTGAAGCTCGCAGGCGGCTATGGTAAGGGGCGTGACATTTCCCGACCAGGTGCCGAGTGCTGCCAATCACAACACACACTGGCCCAGCTAACCAATCACAGCACACACTGGCCCAGCTAACCAATCACAGCACACACTGGCCCAGCTAACCAATCACAGCACACACTGGCCCAGCTAACCAATCACAGCACACACTGGCCCAGCTAACCAATCACAGCACACACTGGCCCAGCTAACCAATCACAGCACACACTGGCCCAGCTAACCAATCACAGCACACACTGGCCCAGCTAACCAATCACAGCACACACTGGCCCAGCTAACCAATCACAGCACACACCGGCCCAGCTAACCAATCACAACACACACTGGCCCAGCAAACCAATCACAGCACATTTCGTATTTCAGAAGGCGGGCCTTCATTTGATACAGGAACTATTCGAGCCGTTCATGCCAGACTGGGGAGAGAAGTGCTGTAATAATGTAAAATATGTGAAAAATAATGTGTTTTTCGAACAACCTTGTATGAGAGCCTGTTCAAGTACATCCCCAAAACAAAATCAAGACTTTGTAAAAGAGCCCTTTAAAGTAAACTTTATGCAGAATGTGTCAGTCACATTGTAAATACACTCTTTAACAACAAACTAAAACACGGACCGTGAATAACTAAACATGGCTGTTGTGACACCTTGCACCACGTTTTTGAAATGCTGTGTCAGTTAAAAGCTTGATACGCCTGCACTTTGTACTATTTTCTTGTGCTCTGTCTCACTGAATGACCACTTGCTGATCCAAATCAGCATATAACACAGCATTTTTAACTGTTATTTAAATCAGCTCAGACTGTAACATTTATCCATAATAATAATATATACGAATGTTACGTTCAGCCAAAAGTCTTAGAATCACAGCTAAGGAATCAGGCTTATCCTTCACAGCGTTTGCCCATCCAGTCAGAACCGTTTAACCTACTTAACCAAGCAAGCACCCATTGGTAAGATGATGATATCAGATAAAAGACCATACAATTATCCCAGTGCAGATCCTTTTTCACTATCAAAGCTTCATGCGTCACCCCAAACAGGTGGCTGACCTGCTGTAAATGACTCTTGACTGAGCCTGTGATTATAGCTCATGCAGTTAAACAGCGCAGATTACGCAGTTATGCGGCAGCATTGACCCCATTGCGGTTCATCCTTAATTGACACTGTCATAATGATGCATTCGCTTTCTCAGTCTGCACGTCTGAGTCGGATCTGTCCAAGCGTGACTCGCGCTTTGGGCTGCTAGGTGAATGCCGAGCCGGTCACATTGCATGCAAACTCCACAAATAAAGCCTTGCCAGTGAGTCTTGGCACTTTGAGCACTTGTGCCATCCCATATGCAGCAATAAAGATAGTTATAAAAACAAGTTTAAAGAACGACCCCCAGAGAAAGGCTCCGACATTGGGACCAGTGGACCAGGAGTGGTCAAAACGACACGGGACAGAGAACTACCGCAGACCTCGCGCTCTCTAAGTGTGTGTGCGCATGTATATGAACGCATATGTGAGTTTGTCCTTTTCCTTAGCTGCAATTGAACGAATAGGCCGCAACGAACGCTCCCAGTGGCTTGTGAATTAGGACACTCACTTCCATAAATATTTCAGCCTCTTTCTTATATAGGTCAGCTTTCTGTCTCTCTCACTTTCTCTCCTCTTCTTCCTACTTCTCTTCTCCTTGCACGTCTTATCCTCTCAGACATCTGTTCTGTAGTACTTTTGGTCACCAACTGTGGGTTAAAGTAGAATGATGGGAGATCAACGGAGTGAGAAGATACAGCGGCGTAGAATAGGATGTCATGCATCAATAAATAAATGAATGTTTTCTCATTTTTAACAGTACATTATGAGTAAAAAATAGGTGTTGTAGCTAACCTTAATACCAAGTTGTTCTGAATCCTTCAAAAGCAGTGCAGTCACTGAAGGATAGCCTATATGCATTGCTGCGAGAACTGTCTAGCTGAACTTTAGCATTGATATTTACTTGTAGAAAGAGTGTGTTGTAATACAGAAAGTTTGTTAATAGAGGCCTGCAAAGTGGTTATCTACACTACTGTTCAAAAGTTTGGAGTCAGTAAGACTTTTCATTGTTTTTGAAAGAAGTCTCTAATTATTAGAAATATTTTAAAATATGACTGTATTATTACAATTTAAAATAACTGTTTTCTTCTTTTTCTTCTTATTATTATAAAATGTCATTTATTCCTGTTATGTTAAAGATGAGTTTTCAGCATCATTACTCCAGTGTCACGTGATCTTTCAGAAACTATTCTTATATATTGATGTATGCCCATTCTAATATGCTCAAGAAACATTTCTTATTATCAAAGTTCAAAACAGCTGTGCTTCTAAATATTTTTGTGAAAACCTTTATATA